ACGTGGGGGGTCTCTGTGATTGGGGCGTCCGTTGCGATGGTGCCTGTAGTGGAGAGGTGGAGGAGAGCCGCGAAAACTTGGCTTTAAAATTTACACTCACTATTTTCTTCGAAAATATATATGAGTTCCATAAAAACTAAACACCAGAATCAACTCATCAATTTTGTTATGAGAATAATTGTTGAACTTCTAATGATCAAGCGCAAAGAAAAATGTTTTCCAATGATTATTCGAACTGTGGGCTCGTGGAAATATACCGAGTTACGAATATCCATTCACCCCTGTTTTTTCATAAATTAGAATTCATTAGAACTTTTAAAAGCTAGCAATTAGTATCAATGTTTCCATTTGTTATTAGTGATTCGATTAACTATGACAAACTTACCTTTTACTAATGCAGATGTGATACCTCTAGTCGATGATAACATAAGACTCCTTATGTCTTATATCCTTTTTCTTTTGTTATCAATGTGTAGTTTGTAATCATTATGACGACAGAGTTTTGAAAATATCAAGAACATGATAAATATTCTAAACAAGCAAAATCTGAATATCTAACTCATTGATACATCAACTTAGTCACATCTCTGAAAATGAGGTTGTGCGTGTGGATGCTAATGACTCCTTTCCATTTGAATAACCACACCCACACCATCGAATACTCATGGAATGTTAATCATGTAAATATTACACAAGTGATTCACATAATTTCTCATCATAGTCAAAAAACTAAAAAAGAATTTGTGTACAAAATGAGATCATGGGAAACAGTGTTATACTCATTGGTGGTATTTTCCAGTCTTTTTTCTAAATTAGAAAATAAAGAGTGGTTGCTTTGTTTGTTTTTAGAAGAATAATTTTTTTTCTTTTTTGGAACGTTCCTCTCGAAATAAAAATTGCTTTTGTTTGTTTTTTTGTGGATTTTTTTAGACTAGTTTCGGTGGCCTTTGAACAGCCGCCTCCTTAGGATCTATGAAAGGGAGGGGGAAATGAGCAAACAACCAAAATAAATAAATAACACACAAAGAAAAGAAAAGAAAATAAGAAGAAAAATCTCTCAGGGTTTGAAAGATTACTTGAAAGTTTAACATGTAACAAAAAACTGACAAGAAAATGCGACAATCTCTTCCGATCTGAAGGGCTTCAGAAGACGAACGACCGTTCAACTCTTCTGTTGATTTTAATCGTCATTGATTTAAATCGTTGTTGTGGAACTTTTTTGTACAAGCAGTTGTGAAACGTATTTGTTGGTTGTTGGGGATTTGTCGATGTTGTTGGTATGGGGTGTGGCTCTGTGTGTGAGTGTGGATTTGCTGATGTGTCGGTGAGTGTGTGTGGATGTTAGTACTCTCCGCATATATGTCCACATCCACACCCACCTACATCCGCACCCCGAGTTCCACATTTCAGTCTCTTTGGGACTACGCTAACAAGCTTTTTGCTTACATAACAGGTATTCTTTCAATTTAATTTCAAGAAAGATTAAGAAACTGAACGAACGAGATGTTTTATTTTTTTGATCAATTTTAGAAAATTACCAAATCTAAACTTCTCATCACATATTAGAATATCGATAGAGATTCGTCTGATGCTGAATAAAATTATTGAAAGATTAATATTATACAGAAAAAAAATTAAATTAACATAAATTCTTCTGTATAATTCGATGAATAATTATCTAACCATAATGGAATCGGAGTCTTTTGTTGCGCTTGTTTTTGTTCCCAGACATATTCTATTCTTTGTTTGATTAGTCTTTCTTTTTCTTTTGTGATTTGAAATTTCGTATGGTTTCTGTCTAAAATTAAACGTAAATAATTTCTCATTCCATGTGCTCTTGCTTGGTTATGATATGGTCCTAATTTTAATTGTCGACTATTAAATATACCCGAAGCAAGACTAAATGTACTCAATCCACCAATCAAAATATCATCACGTACTAGACGATTAAATGCTTCCGATGTTCGACCGTTTAAGAAAAACGAAACATGACAACGTGAACCAGGCGAAACTTTGCTTAAATGCATCAGTATATCATGAAAATCATCTATGACACCTTCGCTATAAATTGTAATTAAATACTTATTTCGCATTTGAATAGGTAATGCATTGATGATAGAAATTAATAATGATGTATAAGCAGAATTAGCTATGTAACGACGTAGATTACTCGATAGTATACGACCTTGATTATCTCGTCTTACAACATCACTAAGACGTATATGTACTCCAATCAATAGAACATCACGTACATTAATTGTTGAACATTGAACACGTTGAAAAAAAACACTACTAATATTACTATTTGCTTTGATTGTATTTGATTTTATATATGGAAAATAATCAATTGGTTGATAATTAGACGAAATCGGAATACCTGACCAGACACCTGTACGAGTGTTGTACTGTTTGCGATGTTGTAACCACCATCGAATTTCAAAAACGACACCTATTTCCATTAATGATGATGTGATAGTAGCAGTTCGACTAGAATAAAATGTAAAACCGATATTACTTTGCGAAAGATTAGCTATGAAATCATCGAATTTCTTTTTCAAATATGATTTGATTGTAAACGGTTGTTTGCCAATATGTTTTTGATCAAATGTTTGATTCCATATTAAATCATATTTAAATATATTTCGTTTAATAGATGAATTTTTTGGGCATGCGTGATAAGCTAACGATGGAATTTGCCAATGAAAAAATTGCCAATATTTTTCTCTATCGTCATTGTTTTCCTCATCACTATGTCCAGCAGTCCACTCAAAATGTACTAGGGTTAAATTGAATTTATATGCTATATTGAGAACACCTAAATACCACAATAATCTTGATCCAGTCCCATCGGAAGTCTGAGAACCCGGTGCATTATTTAATAATAAATAGCGACCATGTTCACAATCGATTATGGGATGATATTTTAACAACATGGAAAATTTATTCCTTAATTTAGGAAAATAACGAATGAGTGTTTGTTCAATATCAGGAAAACATGGTGTATTATCCAACATACATTCATACAATACGTTGTTAAAACAAGATGAATAAGATATATTTCTTGGGCTCATTTTAACAACGAAAAACAAGCCAAATGTACAGCTAAAAATGAGTAAGCTGCCGAAAATACAAAATTTCACCATTTTTTTTCCACAATATTTGTGCATGGTTGGTAGAGCGCATCGAATTGCGTAGACAAGAGTAGTTTTTTCGTTTTCAAAATGATTTTTTTCTATGGGAAAGGACGGGGGCACATAAGAACAGGAATCGGTCCACGAACAGATTCTCATACGAAATTAATTTTCTGATGCAGAATTTTACTGCGAATCATTCGATGCCAAATTAAATATATTTTCGAAACCATTTGCTGGTCTCCGGCCTATGCCAATTATATCCTATTTTTATCCAGTGCAGAGGGATTATGTTTGTCAAAAAATAATTTGATAAAGCTTCAAACAGGCTCATCTGAAAGAGCGTAAAATTCTGCACAAAATCGTATACTAACAACTAAAAATAATCAACACCAGTAAAAATTTCCTAGCAAATACTATGTTTTCACCCATATTTTTGGGACGCCATCGACTTTCATGCAGCCCAGTCACTTACGAATTCATCCTACGATGGAGTTTCTTCTTCATGGTCAGATGCGGTTTTCGACGGGCTACACGATGGTATGGTTTTTATCTTAAAATTTCATTGGCCAAAACATTTCATATGGACAATACCGCTGGAAAGAGTGATTTTTTCATATGTATCCTTCATTGTGGGCTTCAAAGTGCTTAAGAAATGTCTTTACGATGAACTTTCGTCTTCATGAATAGATGCAGTTTTCTACGGACTACACGATGGTATGCTTTTCATCTCGAGATTTCATTGGCCAAAAAATTTCACAAGGACAATACTTCCTAAAACAGTGATTATTTCAAGTCCATGATATCTTTATACTTCCAAAGTGCTTAAGAAATGTCTTCACGGCAGCCTTTCGGCTTCCTGGATAGATGTAGTTTTTGACGGGCTTCACGATGGTGTGCCTTTTTTCTCCAAATTCTTTTGGCCAAAAATTTTCACAGGGAGAATACTGCTGAAAAGAGTGATTTTTTCCAATGTATCGTTCCTTTTGGGTTCCAAAGTGCTTAAGAAATGTCTTTACGATGGACTTTCGTCTCCATGAATTTAAACCGTTTTCGACGGGCTACATGATGATATGCTTTTCATCTCGACATTTCATTGGTCAAAAGATTTCACAAGGACAATACTTCCTAAAACAGTGATTATTTCAAGTTCATGATATCTTTACGCTTCCAAAGTGCTTAAGAAATGGCTTTACGATGAACTTTCATGTTCAGGGTTAGATGTAGTTTTTCACGGGCTACAATTTAGTATAGTTTTCATATCGAGATTTCATTGGCGAAAATTTTTCTAGGATCAATACCGCCCAAACTTGCGGTTTTTTCGATTTCAGACTTGAAAGCCACTTCTAAAGTGCTCCACAAACCACTTTACGATGGGTATTCGAATTAAGGGTTCTTTGCGATTTTTCGGGGCTTCAACGCTGGCATAGTTTTCGTTTCCGCATTTCATTGGGAATATTTTGCAAAAGGAAGTACTGCCGAGTATTTTAATTATATGCGTTCTCATTCGCGACAGGAAGTTGATGTTTATTGTATGGAGGTAAAGATTAATTATAGGATTTTATGCAAATCATTCGAAGTTGGTTGATTGGTTCAAGTGGAATTGATAAGAACTTGATCAAGGGTTGTAACTCTTGCAAATTTGGTGGTCCATGGCATACCACATAAACCTGAGCAAGTCTGAATCACATATCCGGAGTTCAAAGAACGACATGATTTACGTGCAATTTGATAATATGAATGCAGTATCTCTATCCCGAAAGGATGCGATCAATCCTAAATAGGTTTTGGATTTCCGACAAATCCTTGAGGTTTGATTTTGCTCCTGGATTTCGTCTCGATCGGGGACTCCGGTTTGTGGGCATGGTTTGGAGTTAGCACGTAGGATTCAGCTGTTGTTGGGAATTTGGACTTGACTTTCGAGTTGGGTTTGGAATGGGGTCTTAGACCGAAATGCCTCCAACTTTGGACTTATGTTACACCGAAACAAAATCCTAACGTAACAGCCAAATCAAAAGCCCAGATCTACAACGGAATCTTAAATACCGCATCCAAATCCAAACTATCTCAAATTGAATTGAAAGTCTTCGCATTGATTTCTCGCTTCTGATATTTATCTTACATCGTGTATTCAGATTTGGGTAATTTAAAACTACACCCAAACCCAAATCGAAGTACCAATTCAAGGGGAAATAAAGCCCAAATTTTTCTATGCAAAATTGGAAGGTCTTCGTTTTGTTGTATCGCTATCTTCCTCATCACAGCACACATCATCCGAATGATAGGCAATATTAGCTCTTGCCATGTTCTCGCCAATAAACAAAGGACAAACCTGAACGAGGATGTAACCCCACGGTAGGCGCATCGAACACTTAGCTGAAAAGACCATCGAAAGTGGCTTCTGAGCCACTTTGCACGCTGGTTAGAAGCTCGAAATCGAAAAAACGGCATTTCACGCGGTATTGCCTTTAGAAAACTTTTGGCCAATGAAATTTCGGTATGAAAACTGTACTAAATGGTAGCCCGTAAAAAACTGCATCGAACCCCTAACCGAAAAGTCGCTCCTAAAGTGGTTTGTGGAGCATTTTAGAAGTGGCTTTCAAGTCTGAAATCGAAAAAACCGCAAGTTCGGGCGGTATTGATCCTAGAAAAATGTTCGCCAATGAAATCTCGATATGAAAACCATGCCAAATTACAGCCCGTGAAAAACTACATCTAACCCTGAACATGAAAGTTCATCGTAAAGCCATTTCTTAAGCACTTTGGAAGCGTAAAGATATCATGGACTTGAAATAATCACTGTTTTAGGAAGTATTGTCCTTGTGAAATTTTTTGGCCAATGAAGTTTTAAGATAAAAAGCACACCATCGTGTAGCCCGTCAAAAACCGCATCTGATCATGAAGAAGAAATTCCATCGTAGGACGAATTCGTAAGTGACTGAGCTGCATGAAAGTCGATGGCGTCCCAAAAATGTCGGTGAAAACATAGTATTTCCTAAGAAATTTTTACTGGTGTTGATTATTTTTAGTTGGTTAAGATACGGTTTTGTGCAGAATTTTACGCTCTTTCAGATGAGCCTATTTGAAGCTTTATCAAATTATTTTTTGACAAACATAATCCCTCTGCACTGAATAAAAAAAGAATATAATTGGTATAAGCCGGAGGCCATCAAATTGTTTCAAAAATATATTGAATTTGGCATCAAAAGATTCGCCGTAAAATTCTACATCAGAAAATTAACTTCCTATGAGAATCTGTTCGTGGGCCGATTCCTGTTCGTATGCGCCCCCGTCCTTTTTCGACCGACGAAAATTTTAAAGCGAGCTATTTTTACTGTTTTCAAAAGATAAACCCGCCTTTTTCGATTTTTTTCTTCCTTCAAATATGAAAAACTGTTGCTTTCTGATTCAGCAAACGAGACTGACTATAAAAACATATATGACATATGTTTCTATAGTCAGTCTCATGTGCTGAATCAGAAAACAACAGTTTTACATATTTGAAGGAAGAAAAACATAAAAAAGGCGGGTTTATCTCTTGAAAACAGTAAAAATAGCTCGCTTTGAAATTTTCGTCGGTCGAAAAATTTTCTATAGAAAAAATCATTGTGAAAGCGAAAAAAGTATTCTTCTCTAGACAATTCGATGCGCTCTATCCAACCATGCATAAACATCGTGAAAAAAAATTATTGAAAGTTTGCATTTTCGGCACCTTATAAGCATGCAACAAATACAACCATTTCGTTTGTATATAGGTTGGAGACAAATATACAGCAGATTTTTCACAAGATAGATTCCCATATCTAAAACTGTATGTAGAAACGATAGGATAAATATATGAACTTTAGGATTAATTACTGAACTATTCGTAATCTAGAAAATAACTCTCCACAGCCACAACCTTTCTGTGTTAACTATCAATATCAAGAGTAACCTACGAGATGCGAATGATAAGAGTGGAGATTTGTAGAATCAATATTATTTTTGGTTCAGACGTAGCCGAGTTCCGAGTGCTTCTTTTAAGCAGTCTCGATCATATTTAGAGTAAATTTTGTATGGTTCTGATAGAAAACGATAGAAACCACATTTTCCCTAATCATGGACCTGATCACGATGATGGTGCAGGTGTGCCTGTGGGTATGGTTGCTTTTGGCGTTGGTGATAGGGTGACTTACGATGCTGCCGTCGATGTTGGTGTGATTGTGGATGTGGGTATTGTTACAGAGACATTTTAGTTTTATAAATGGCACCTGTAGGTACACATTTCCGGTTTTTGAGTTCAGTAAAAATCCTAAGAATGATCGTGCAAAGGGAGAAAATCGTATCAGTCCAGAAAAATTGGACATGGGTTAACATGGTCAAGTTCCCATGTGAAAATTTAAGTCAAAAAGCGCGCTTAAATTAGCTTAAATTTTTGGCTGAAAAGTGCTGAAAAGCGCACATTTTAAGCGACTGGAAAGTGCTTAAATATATATAGTTCAGCGCTTTCAAGCGCTTACCCTTGGAAGTTTAAGCACTTTCAAGCACTGAAATTCAAAGCAGTGTAAGCGCTGAAAAGCGCACATTTTAAGCG